CCCCTTTGTTGTGATCCCGTCTGCGGGGGAGCGCTGCGCTCTGCCCCGGCCTTCCCGGGCTGGGCTTCGGGTCTCTTCCTTCCTCCCCTTCGCTTTCCTGCCCGCACTCGGGGTCGGTAGTGAAGACTTTCAGATTCTCTCGTTCTGAGCGATGCAGGCGTACTCGGATACGCTTCTGTTAGTGGTCCACTGAAGTGCTGGTTTTTCAGCAACTTCCTCTTATAGCTAAAGCCTTTAAGGTTTAGTTTTCCAGTCGTGTTCGTTTTAAGTGCCGTAGAGTGTTCTTTAATGTTAGCACTTCAAAAGTTAAAGATTCTCTGCACCTAGTTCCCCCCCTCCATATAACTTTTGTGACTGTTAATATTGTGACTTTGTTCTTAATGCGAGGAGCAGTAAACGCGTGAAACCAGTTTCACTTTCAGGTTGTTGCTGGAAATGTTTTAAAGTGTAACGATTTCTCTCCAGTGTGGCTTTAAAAAAAAAAACAACAACCTACTGCAAAGCATATGCTGATTATGGTAGAAAGTACTGCATGTGAAAAAGTAATTAATTTTATAATAACGATTTAAAACGTGGGTGGCAGCCCTTGTGATTTTCACATCTAAACCCAGTTAAAACTGAAAGCTGCAGGGCAATCTTCTGTATTTTAAATTAAGGTTTTTTTGCAAGTTGGAGAACCTGCATTTACTTATTCGGTTTTTGTATTCATTTGTCACAGTCTGATTTCAACTTGTAAGGAATAGAATAAAAGGTCTATGAGAGAGTCTAACCTGGAACATTAAATGAGAACTAAACCAATATATTCCTTTTAAAAAGCAATCAAACTTGGTAGGTTAGTAGTCCTTACTTGTTGCTTGTGCCTAGGGATCATTTTGAGGAAGTGTGTAATGTAAGTTATAGGGAAAGACAGCAGAGGTATACACTCTCCTCTGTGGAAGTTGTTTACGCCACAAGAATAGTTTAGGTGTTGTTCTGGAGGGTGGCTTGTGCATGTGCAAAAGGCTTGTAGACCGAAAGTGAGAATTCTCTTTATTGTGGTTCCCTAAAGAGCTAGATGAGTGTGGCAGTAATGAAAATATGTACAAAAGTTCCCTCTCATTGGCTTTCATTTCTCTTACCTTCTAAAATTTGATTTAATTTTGCAAGGCTTTTGATACCTTCTGCAAACTACTACTGCATACCTTCATTTCTCAGGTAAGTTGGTACACTCTGGGCATGTGTGATATTTTGCTGAATCTGGCTCTGAGCACATGGAATGAATTCAGGTGTTGAAGACTTTGGTTTTGGGTTGCTGTTGTTTTTTGGGGTTTTTTTACATTTAAATTGGTTTTTTTTTAATGGTAACACAGTGTTTAAAGTGAAATATTTGCCTCTTCCAGACAGTCCTATAAGGGCTTTGTAGAAACATAATGGAGTTTGTAAGAGATTTTCAGTTTTCTCAAAACTCAGATATTTCACATATTAATCATCACACACCCCCTCCAAAATTGCCTGCTAATTTGATATATTTTTTTATGAAAGAGTCTCCCCTCTTGTGTGAAACCCCCTGGGGAAGAGGCTATGGACAAAACCATTGGCAAACAGCAGAAACTGGCTTCAGACAAAATGCTGTCATACATAGCAAATGAAGAGACAGGAAAAAACATTTCTGTAATTTTCCAGCAGAGATTTTACTTATAATAAGAGTGGAAGGCACATTTCCAGATAGAGGTGAGTTGCTTGTAAAAAACCAAAAATGTAAATCTGGTTGGTTCTGATTTCCAGGAATCCCAAAATGTTTAGCTTTGGGGGTTTTTTTGTTTGTTTGTTTTTAATGAAAGCTGAAAGTATGTTTCCTTTAAATTGGTACCATGTTTTAATTCCCCCCCCCCTTTTTTTTGTTATGCTATGAGGCACAATTAGACTTCAGTTCCACAGGGGGCAAGCTAGTATTACTACGGCAAATTATTTTGGCCAGCTTACATTCAGAAGAGTTGTAATAAATTAGTTCCGTTGTCTTGTTCCCTAATGCTGACATCCAGAGCTAGAACTAAGCTTGTAGCCTAAAACATTAATGAACTTCTGAAAACAAAAGCTGTGCATCGAATTTAATACCAACTTGGAAGTAGACTCTGGGAAATGCACGATCTGTTAAGGATATGTGATTTAAGTAAATGTGTCTTATCATAGACCCTTGGCTTCAAGGTTGTGGTGACCTCATTGTTGACCTTGGCCTCCAATACCATCTGTCCATGCTTCTGTCATGTTTCTGGGGGTTAGATCTGAATATAGAAAGTGATGCCTATCTGTATAGGTGCTGGTAGGCCTTTGTTAAGCTACAGCTCTTGTACTCAAAGCTCTAAATCGCTGCCTTTGTGAATTCAAGCACGGAATTGATTCAATAGTAGCAACAACCATTTTGAGTGGTTTTAAACCTTTCTCTGACTGTTTTGGGATCATCCCCTTTTGTCCAGGATGCACTTACTTGGGGGTAAGGAGTTTGGTTACTTAATAACAGGATATCTTTTGTAGCAAGTTTTCACCTTCAAAACACTTTCTTGTAAATTTTGCCAATACTTGAGCATAGTCTTCACCAAGACACTAAAGCAATCTCCTGAGTAAGTATTTGGTGTCTAATTAAACATTAAATGGTTTTATTTTGTGTTTTGGTCATGCATTGTTCACCCTTTGTGACCAACTTTTTCTGCTGAAAGAGCAGTTATTACACTCAAAGAATGTATGCTATAATGTGCTGACCAAATTCAACTGTATTTATATAGCACTGTATGTTAAGAGAGTGAGAAACTAGTTATTTTTCATATTTGCTTAGAGTTGTCTTCCTGCTTTTGGGGAAACCGGTTTCCTTAGTTGTATTACTTATCTTACTGTTTGCCTTGTGTAATGGTTAATTAAGGGTATTTCTTAAAAATTCACTGTTGCCAAGTATTTACAGGGAGGAGAGGAAGAACAGGAAAATGGGAAGTTGGGCAGAATACGAAAGCAGTTCTTAAGAGTTCCTTTCTCCACCCATCCCTTCAATAAAGAAAAGTATGCAAGAAAACCCCCAAGCAAATAGTCATTCAGGCTTATTTGCCAGTCCTGCTTATCCTAGACTTGGTATTGCTCTGTCTAAAAATCTTCCCTGTTGAGGAACCAGTAATCTCATTTGGAAAATAAGCCTTAGCCAGCATGCCTAAAAGTTTGTCCTGTGCTTTTGTTTGTGTGTTGCTTCTGCTTAATGTACTAGTAGACTTTCTTAGTAGTGGAGCTACTTAAGGCACTGCCTAAGGTTCTACGTTTTATAGTAAGCCAGACTCCTGCTCCAGTCATGTTTTGCACATAGGCAGGATGCTATTCCCTCATTTGTTAGAAGGTGAAGAAGTGATAGGGTTCAGTTTTGAGGAAAAGACAGCCTCCTCTGCATGATTTTTTTAGTGCTGAATCCAGCTTCTAAGAGTAGGAAACCACTTTCTTCCTTTTATGCCTATATTGTGAAACATGGATTGATCTTACTATGGTTGTAATTCTTAAATCAGGTTGCCACTACTGTTAGTTAGTGAAGAACTGCATTCTCATAGAATGTCTCAAAATTCAGCGGGAACACCTTGCAGGATAATAAGCTGTTCTTGGAGGCTTCCGTTCATAGAGGTCCTGTAGGTACCATGGTTAGGTGTGCCTCTGTCAGACAAGATACTGCTAGTCAGCTGATAAGGCACACTGCTGCTCATCACTTGCAAGAACTCTTGCAGGCTGCTGCCGTTACTGAAGCAGCTGATTTTTTCCCAGTTATGGTTCTGTTTGAGGTATTTTTTTATTGTCCTTTTGTAAGGATGCCTTTGAGTTCAGAGTTGTACCCCAACTTTTTTCTGTTTCACATGATAGATGTAGTTTGTAAAAGAACAAGACCTCTAAGTTCTACAGGAAGGGTTATTGGAGATTCCACATGTTGTTCACTTCTTTCTACAAATGTTGTGCTTCAACATGGATTAAAAAGAACCTTAGTGGTGTTTATTATCAAAATAGAAATGTTTTGATCTCCTCTAGCAAAATTCCAGCATAAGTATTTGCATATCATCCTCCCTAACTTCCACCTACTTCTATGCACAAAGTACTTTGTAATTTTTTTGTTGCATTACTGTACCTTTTTCGAGTCTCAAAAAACATGTTTTGAATAATTTCCCCAGAATTGTGGTCCAGATTATAACATTAAGAATGTTCTACATAAATTATCTGGCAAACACAGTCATCTTCTGGCAAAAGCTTGGATAAAAATGTTTTATAAAAAAGAAAATCTGCTGTTGTGAATCATTCATAACTTGAACTGGGGCGATTTGGCCGAATATAAAGTAAATGGAAAGGTGACTTGTTTTGACAGTGTAGTTAAACTCGACAAACTTGATGATTGCTACTTAGGAACTCGTATAATGCTGAAGAATGATTCTCTTAATAGAGGGCCCAACTTTCTATACGGGAAGTGAAAATGTTATCTTTCTCATCTGTGGGTATTTTGGCAAAGAGGGCTTGGCAGTAATACTGAGGTTCTAAATATATGTGATGCAAAAGAAGAACAAAAAAAAAAAAGACTCAACTGTGCTGTTGTGGTATCTACAATTGTAATCTTGCACCATGCTTCAACTTGCTCAGAGCAGACTGTCTTCCCTTCTGTGCCACTGGTCCTTCATCTTGCCTCTAACCTCCTGTTTCTTCTTTCACCTTCCTTTGCAGTGGGAGCAGTGCTGGCGTGTGGTTTAGCCGCAGCCGGCAGCTAAGCACTGGCAGGGTCAGGGTGGGAGGAGAATCGGAAGAAGGTAAAACTTGTGGGTTGGGATAAGGACAGTTTACTGAGACCGCGAAGGAAGAGGAAAATAATAACAACACTTACAAAAGAATATACAAAGCGGGTGATACACAATGCAACTTGCTCACCCACTGGTCCTTCATCTTGCCTCTAACCTCCTGTTTCTTCTTTCACCTTCCTTTGCAGTGGGAGCAGTGCTGGCGTGTGGTTTAGCCGCAGCCGGCAGCTAAGCACTGGCAGGGTCAGGGTGGGAGGAGAATCGGAAGAAGGTAAAACTTGTGGGTTGGGATAAGGACAGTTTACTGAGACTGCGAAGGAAGAGGAAAATAATAACAACACTTACAAAAGAATATACAAAGCGGGTGATACACAATGCAACTTGCTCACCCCTGGAGGCTGATGCCCAGCCTGTCCTCAAGCAGTGACCCCTTCTCCTCCTCCCCCCCTTACATCTGGAGCATGATGTCATATGGTATGGAATATCCATTTGGGTCAGCTGTCCTGGCTGTGTCCCCTCCCAGCATCTTGTGAAAATTAAGTCTGTCCCAGCTGAAAACCAGGTCAGCTGGCTATGGAGTTTCTCTACTGTAGCATGGGGAGTCGGAGGGACTGGGAGTGGGCTGTGCTTCTCTTCCGCTGCTGGTACAGCATTTCACATCTCTGCCAGCAAAGTAACTGGGCAAAGCAGAGCTGCCGCGTGGGTCCAGAGTTCTCCAGTCTGGAATGGAAAAGGAATGTCCCAAGACTACCTTGTACTGCAGCCTCCGCTGAAGGGTTGAAGTCCTCCTTTATGTGGGATGAGGCCCTAATCTCTTAGTGAAACCGGATCAGCTGACTTAGGGAGGATGAGTGAATGAGGAAGGAGATCCTGCACGTGGGCTCTGAAACACTGCTAATATCTGTCTGTAATACTAGAAGGCATCATGGTGTTCTGGTGTTACTGTTGTGAATGGTTAATATGGTATTGCGTTTTGTTTCTTAGCGGAGGCTGTGGTCAGGGAAAGTTAAGTATTGTGAGACGTTAAGGAGTTCATGAAATCTCAAGGAAGATGACTAGTCTTCATGTTCTGATCTGTAAATTATGGGCACTGTTCGCAGAACACGGTATCCATGGCAACGTTGTGCTCAACTTCTGCCTTAATCTACGTGCACGTGCACACACAAACAAATAACTGATCTGGCATCTGCTGGCTAATAGCATCAGTAATGGTGTACAGGTAGGACTTGTTACCAGTGCAGGTCAGGACTAGGTGGGGTTCTGCCACCATGCAGTGTTTCCTCTAACGATCGCGACTGTTACCCTAGCTACCTCAGGCAGATGTCGGTTCCCTCAAGGAGATGTCAAGTTATGCCCTATGCTAAGTTTTGATTGGTTTTAATATAATTTTGAATAGTTGCTGAGGAATGTGTGCATAATTAACATTACACTGATTTTTTGTTGTTGTTGTTTTGTTTCAGAGCTGCTTTAAGTGTTTTAAATTTGTTTACCTTATTGCATAACCTTTTGTGCTTACTGTTTTTTGGTTGGTTTTTTGTTTGTTTTTTTTTCTTTTAATTGAATGTTAGGATTGGGTCAGTGTGGAAATCAGTTTTCCCTCTTAACTATAAGGAAATCCCTCCATAATAGGATTTAGTCAGATTGCAAAGGAGAATAGAGAATATTACAATAAAGGGATAGCATGGCAGGAAAAGGCTCGGATGAGAACCAACAATGAAGATGTTCAGGCATATACTCTCTAGGAAAGGGATTTGGGGAATTAGTGTGATGAAATCTTAAAGCTATGAATCCAAATGCAATTTAAGAAGGAAAAGTCCAATCATATATTATTATTTTTCTGTCTACAATGGCTTTTAAATAAAATTAGCTCTTGGAAAAGGAAGTAGAGGCAAAGGCTTTCTTAATATTTTTTTTCTGTTTTCTTGGCTGTGCTTCATTCTCCTAACTTGTGCTCTGTTGTAGAATTTTTGTCTTCTCTTTAACTCTTTTATTTCCTCTTAAACTTAGTAGATACTGTTAAAGGTAGTGGAAATACTTTGGAATTTTTTTTAGCTTAATGAGGGCAGCTCACATAGCAGTCGCCTTGTTTCAGTAGAGCTGTGTAAGATATCGATAAAGTGAAAATTGTCACTGTATTAAAATGCATATATTGGATGTGCATCAGGAAAAAAAAGACATCAGTTAATCTATTGTTTATACTTTAATGTCTTTGCTGGAAATTGCTTATCTGTTATGCATTCTTCAAAATTGTATGTTTTTATTAGACCTCAGATTTTTTTTGGTTATAGGCAAACTCTATTATGTAACAAGTTTTCATATATGACAGTGGCAAATTAGTCACCTTTCTATCTTTTAGCATTTATACAGACCCTATTGCCATAGTAACTGAGCTCTTCATAATTGTTAATGTATTAGTCCCCAGAACATCCCTGTGAGGTAGGGAGGTATTCCTGTTTCACACGTGAGAAACTGAATCATAGGGAAGCTGACTGATTTATTGGCAACCCCAGAAGCCAATGAGAGCAGAGATATAATATACTCTCATTTCTGTTCCCATGGAATAAGTGCCCTCTTGGTTGAACTGTCTTTCCTCTGCCCAGCTTTCTCAAATGAATGAATTTTAGTGAAATTGGCTGGAGCCATCTGGAATGTGCTCATTTGCATATAAGATGTGTGGCTGTCATTATTCAGCACATCAGGATTAATGAACTCTGAAGATACCAAGGAAAAGAAATGTATGGACTGCTACTGTGTATTCTCAGTGGATCATGAGAGAGGTTTTTCTTCCTGTATATCACAATACCAAAAATTGGCTGGTTTGGACTCTACTAATACTAATTTAATTGGCAATATGTGGCTCATATCTCTGTGCTGATAGGGCAGTTTGTTAGTATATCTACTTCTGAAGGCTGACTTCGACCTTTGGAACTTTTTAAGCTTGACTTTGAAATACTTGCATTCAGAACACTCTGCTATTCTTTGGGGTTTTTGTTGTTGGGGTGTCTTTTTTGTTTTTGGTGGTTGTTTTTTTTTTTAATTTTTAGACAGAACATACTTCACGAGCAGAAAGGAAAAGACGTGATTCATTCGGGATGTTTGACGGTTATGATAGTTGTAGTGAGGACACCAGCAGCAGCTCCAGTTCAGATGAGAGTGAAGAGGAGGTTGCTCCTTTGCCGTCCAGTCTCCCAATTATAAAGAACAATGGACAGGTCTATACTTACCCAGATGGCAAATCTGGCATGGGTAAGTATGTGCTGCATGGGTACAGAAAGTTTGGTATTTATGTTTTTCAGCCTGTGCTGTGAGTTGTGAAAGTCCAATCCCAAATGTTGGTCCTGATTGAATATGGACCAAAAAAACTGAAGGGTTGGGGTTGGTTTGTTTTGGGAGGGGAGAATTGTTTGGTTTTTGCTAAACTGAAATAAGATAGATTTTGAATCTTGCTGTCAGGAAAGAAATAGTACGGGAACATATGCCTTCCCATCAAATGTGTGTTGTGTATATATGCATATGTATGTATATGTTCTCATGTACATTGTTTCTGTTCTTTGAGCTTTGATGAAGATGTTGGTGTGTACTCTCTATGCTTGGGCATACATTCTCTCTGCCCTTTATGTTATATATACATGTATTAAAATACATTTCTTCCCATAGTTGGCAAACTTGATTACTGCTACTGTATAAAGTCTGTCAGTGTATACCTGTTTGCTACTTATTAGCTGTAAGCGAGCGTATACTGGAAAAAATAAAAAAAGGGAAGATTACTTTTATTATTGGGGAAAAAAATATTTTAGCCAAAATCGTTAGTGATTAGTAGAGTGCTCTGTGGGTAGAATCTTGGTATTGTTTTATTGGCATAAGTTGGTCACATTCTTATTCATTGTGGAACAGCTCAGTGGGTGATGCTGTCGGCCTCTGAAGCTAGAAGAGAATACTGGTGGGCTAGGATACTTTGGGTATACTAATTTATGGCTCAAAAGAGAGATCTGGTTTTATTTCAGGTCGGAAGTATTAAATATTTAGAGGAAATCAAGATTGGCAGGCCCAGATTCAAAGCAGACGTCTCCTTGAGAATCGTGAAAACACAGAAATCGGCTTTAGCTGATTTAGCTGGGTTGTTCACTTCTGCCAGTGGTAAAATTAATAGGGAGCGGAAAGGAAGGAGGCACCCTTTTACCAATGAACTTGAGGTTGTTAGTGTTTCACTGACGTATGTGGTGGTGGTGTTATTTTAAGTTGTCTGTGCAATTCTCTTCAGGGACAAACCCTTTTAAAACTGTTTGGTGGTGCCACCTACAGGACTTTCCTTATGTCGACTTTGTTCTGCATTTTTACTGAGATCTATATTACACTCTTAACATTTGGCTTTTTCTCTCCTGATTAGCTACATGCGAGATGTGTGGAATGGTTGGTGTCCGTGACGCTTTTTACTCTAAAACAAAACGCTTCTGCAGTGTGTCATGCTCTAGAAGCTATTCATCGAACTCCAAGAAGGCCAGCATTCTGGCCAGACTTCAGGTAGCGGTACAGACACCATTTTCTTTATATACTTATTATAGTCTGAGTTTGTAAAGCATGTACACTTGTAAAACTTGCATGATGTTTTAAGATAAGTTTCTTAACATTAAAATTTTTACGATTTATTTTGTAAGCCAAAACTCAAAACTCTTTATCAGTCATGAACAAATTACTTTGCTCAGCAGAGCAAATTCCAGAGAATACTGGCTCCTTATTTCATTTCTGCTGCAGTGTCCCTCCTGCAAGAAAAAGATCAGGAATAATCTTCAGTCCACATATGTAGTGACTTGAAATTCTATGCTTCTCACACCCAAGAAAGTATTTCTGGCTTTAGAGAGCATAAAGGTTTATTTAGCATTGTTGTGTTTTGGTTTTGAGGGTTTTCTTAACTATATAGATTTGCAAAATGGGTTTTGGTCTGTTCACTTAAAATATAAATCAAATAATCATGAAAATATATTAGTAACATTCAAGAAAAGAGATAGAAATGTCAGGAAGTATTGTTATATCCTGTCTCAAACTCATTGCAACAAATGCCAAGAAATTGCAATGGTACAAATTAAAAGTTCTTCCTTTTTACCTGCTTTTGAAAGATATCTTTTTTTCAGGTAAAGAACAATGAATCTATAATGCTGTTCAAGTTGGAATACTAGTACAAAAGTCATCTTTTGGACATTATTTGCTACTGGTTTTTATATTTATTTAATATTACATGTAGTTTTGTGATACTTAGAACAACACAGAATGGAAGTCGACTGATTTTAGTTAAATGTGCCAGAGAGAGGCTACAGACCTATGGAAATTTGGTGATGGGGGTTTGGAAAGACTTTATTTACTTAGCTTTTTTTTTTTGCTTTAGGGTAAACCTCCAACAAAGAAGGCTAAAGTTCTACAAAAACAACCCTTAGTGGCTAAATTAGCAGCATATGCTCAGTACCAAGCAACTTTACAAAACCAGGCAAAGACTAAAGCAGGTAATGGCATATAAATGGAGCTGAAACAAATTCTTGGTAATACAAGATTTGTGGCTCATTAGCAGCTTCCTAAATAAAATAACTTTCTTTTAGCAGCTGTCCCTGTGGAAGGTTTCAGCTGGGGTAACTACATCAATAGCAATAGCTTTACAGCAGCTCCTGTTACCTGTTTTAAACATGTAAGTACTTTTCAATAGGTACTATACTTTTGTGTGTGTGCGTGAGAGAGAGAGAGTCCATGTTAATTCTTGAATTCATTTTTGCAAAAAATTGATATTCAAATATGTTTCATGGCCTTCGACTATGAAACTTATATTGTAAACTGTGCTAGTATGGCTGCTTTTTAGATAGGTATGTTTGGTTTTTTGTCCTTTAAAACCGTTCTGAACACGACCAGTTACTCTCATGGTACATGTTCTCATAAACAAAGAAAAAAGTAAAAGGAGACTCTTAAACACTTGTGAAGCTATTTTTCCTCACATTCAGGGTGCAAAATCATCGAATCCACTACAGAGTATCAAACCAACCAGGTCATGCAATATTGGAAAAAGTTACGAAAGGCTTTTTAGAATGAGTCAGGGTTGCTCCATTATGTTGAACTGATCTTTTGGTTACGTATTTGAATTTGGGGCTTTTTTTTTTAGTCAGCTTCTTCCTGTCAGTTGTGCTGCCAGGTAGTGTAGAAATAGAGGAAAATGAAGGCTTTGTATAAATCTGAAATTAAGAGGTTGGTTTTCTTTGTATGAGTTACAAAAATTCCAAACAAAGTCCTCAGTCATTACAGAATGTAATTAGGGGATGACGAGAATATTTAGCAACATCTATCTTTAATGTCTGTTGAATTCCAATTATTAGATCTTGTTTAAAATATTTTCAGTACTTTCTGTCTCTTAAGTAAAAACTTTATGACGGAAAGTGTTCTCTCAGCATACTTTTTTATTTTTATTTGGTAAATTGAGGTGTTCCATCTTCTTACAAAAGTTTCATTTTGCTCAAAATTATCAGATGAAAATTGCAATCAAAACAAACATTTTGTTTTGTGGAAGTTGTCCGTAAGGGAGAAGAGAGATATTTTCTGTTCAGTTCTGGAATTCATGCTGAGCCCTGTCAACTCATAAATCAGTGGGACTTGAGGGCTTTTGGCAGTTGGCACTTTCTGAATAGCACCCTTTATGTGTAGAGGCCTTAACTATTGCCCAGAACAGAGCCTTGCATTAGTATAGCTTCATGAATTTCTATCAAATTCCATGTGCTTAAGTAAGCATGTTTGCACTTTGCTCTCACAGTTACGTGCATGCTGTAATAAATAATTTCTTAAGTTCATATCAAAAGGCATTGTTTGATAATGTGGGCTGTACTATTGTAACACCAAATGCCTCATGATGTATGGCACCTTTAATTAGGATACAGCTACAATAGTTAGGTCACTTGTAAATTATGCTCTAATATTCATATTAAAAGGAGTTATCTTCCTTTCTTACTGCTTCATTCATTAAATTGAATGGTACACCAATAATGTGAACTGATACAATACTAATGTTTGCATTTTACTTTGAAAATTTTCACTACATGGCAGCAGTGCTACTAAGCCTGAATGTTTCTTTTCTGTCCCTATTTTCCTTTTTTATGCAAGTAAAATGCAACTCCTGCAGTCTCCTTTGGAGATTTTTACTTCTTGGGTGGACATTAGTTAGTGTTACAAGGGTGTGATTTGCACTTAGTTTTACTGTAATTATTTCTTTGAAAAATATATTATTTAAACCAGGCAGAATCTGAAAACACATTAGTAGTCTCTTGTTAGATTCTTCTCTCTTCTCCCCCCCCGTTGATAAATAAAAACCCCAATATTCTTTTGTCTGTTTGGAAAGATTATTTACATTTCCGGTGTACTATATTGCTTTGATTTGTAAAAGTTTGTATTCGTTGATGTTTGTTTACCATCCATGTTATAGATTCTATGCATGTGTTGTGTGTGTCTGTGAGATTGATTATATAGAGCTTATTCTGTTCAAAACAAAAGTCTTGAATTGACAGTAAAATTATGGCATATCTACCCTTAAATTTGTTATTAGATAAAATATGTATATTGTTCTACTGTGTATATCTGTGTGGCTATTTAATAGGGAACATTGGTATTTAATATTAAAGAAAATTTAAGGGTTTTATAAGATATGGGACTTGGCTTATCGATTTATTTTTTTAATAACCTGGCATACTTCACTATTTCAGATCTGATGTAATTTTTCCAGATCAGTTTTTTTGCCTGGAGAGTTATTTCCTCTTCAATTCAAGACAGTTACATTTTAGAATTAAAGCATTTAAATCTTGAAATTCTCTCTATCTCTTTCTCTGTATGAGAAGAATTAATTTCAAAGTCTTTTGATGTGGCTTTTGTACTTCCCTGTTACCTTTATTCCAGACTTCAGTGTTGAGTAACACTAAGGACACTCACTAGTACACTCACTCATAGTACAACTATGCCCGCTTTATAGTTCGGTAAATTGAAGTACAGAAGCTGCTGTGGTTTGTATCATATAGGAAGCCTGTGACAAGCCAGAATTACAGTTTGTGCACCTTGCAGCTTGTTTTTTGCCAAATGGCATTAATCAGACACACGCAGCAGTAGCTGATGCAAGGAGGAAACCCCTAAATTTAATATTCTTGATATTGCATTATAGTTTAGTAACATACAATGTGCTCATTGCTAACCTGCATTCCAATTTCATTTCCTTCTAAACAGTTTTTACTTTCTATATTTGCTTTTACTAGCCCAAATCATTCATAGAAATGAAAGCAAATACAGTGCTTTTGAGCTGTTCATCAGTACTGCTTAATGTACAACTTGATGCACAATTAATACTGATTATTCTTTTCCACTCTGTTGCTAGTGAGATGCACAATTTCTGAAGTTAAGAATTTTTTTAGTCTTTCTTCCAGGTGAATTTTATTCTGAGCTGAAATATTTTCATTCTTTTGTGGGTTTTTATTTGCTATTTAAATAGATAAATTGTTTAAGGGAGCATTTCCAGGATTTTACACTAGGTGGCAGTGCTTTGCCTTGAACTTTTTTATTTTACACCATTTTGCACATTGTCTTCTCTGGCATTACTTTTTGTGGGGGTTCTGTTCACACACAAGGTATCAGCATAGGATCCTTATGCTTCAGGAATTGGTAGCATCGCTTTGCCATGAAAATCCTGATTCAAGGCTGAAATGGCAATGTTGGTGCCACCCAAAACTTTCGGAAGCCAATTGTTTAACCCACAAGAGCTTTATTCAGGGAGGCATGTGGGGATATTTAGCCTTTAGGCACTCTAAAACTGGACCTTCCTGATTGCAACTTACCTTGCAGAGAAGGCAGCTGCTGCTCACAGATAAACCCTCCCAAGTCATCTCCTGGAGCAGGAAGCGATGAACCAGATCTTCCCTTGTTTGGGAGTGACATGAAGTGGATCTCTTCGTCATGAGTCTGAAAGGTAAATTTGTTCTTACCTGTAAATTATGGTTCTGCTAGTTCGCACTATGCCAATCCAGACTTCAGAGTTATCCTTCCAGCCAGCACATGAATAAGACCTAACACTCACGTAGTGCTTTGTGAGTTTTTCAAAGCACTGTGCAAACATAGATTGATTAATCAGATGAAGACAGAGAAGACATGAAGGAAGATGGCTGTTACAGCCCTGGTTTATCCAGTCTTCCTCCCTTAAGAATATTCCTAATGAGTCAAAAAGGAAAAGATGGGGCAGTATACCAGGTATATACTGTAAGCCATCCCTTCAGGACAGAAATGTTATCTGGCATTTCAGTAGTGATGCTACACAGGATGGCTCCCTTCTTCTGAAGGGTGAGCCATATGGATTGGTGTAGGAGAACTAGCAGAACCACTATTTTCACAGACAAGGACAAATTTAACTTTCTGCTATTTCCCTCTATACCAATCCACGTTCTAGAAATAAAAATTTGTGATATATTCATTACTGGTTGATGTGAGGAAAAGTGTTTTGATATACTTTTCATTCTGAATCAACTGAATAGATGAGCAGGCAGTAAAATATATTTCAGTTAAGTGCAGCTGGATTATGAAATTATTCAGCACTGCAATTTTGGTTGTTTGGCTTCATCTGTATTTCTATACAAGGCAACAAGATTTACTAAAATATGCAGTTTGAGAAGTTTAATTCCCCAATTCAATTCAAAAAGCTACACATGTTAATTTAGAGATGATAGTGAATATGTAATAGGACTTGATTAAGAAGCTGTATCTGCATATTTTGTGTGTGAAAATAAGCCATCATCTTTCAAGTTGTTTTTTTCTCTCTGTCTGCCAGATGGCAGAAAAGAGCTCTGCACTCTAGACTGGTGTAGATGGGACATAGCAGAACATGAAGAGACCAGGCTTCAAGACTAAGAAACTGACATTCTTGCAATAACTTATTTTTCCTTTAATAGTTCAAACAAGTTTTAAGTTTTGCATGCCTAGCGTGAAATATTTCTACTAGTGAAAGGTATCCCTTTTTAAGAAAAGTTTTTCTTTTTCTGTTGCTAGTTGGCTATTGCTGATTGCCAGCAAAATTCCAGTATTGTGATTTCCAATAATTCAGGATTAATCCGACTTCATAGAATTTTGGCTGACGGCCACAAGTGAATAAAGTTGGAGGCTATTCCCACTGAGCTGTTAAGCTCTCTGTGTTTGCAAAGAGCTTTGTAAATGAGATGCAGCCTCAGGATCTTGTCTGCCCACTGTGGTGCAGAACCAGGGGACCTCTTTGATTGTCTCTGATATCTGGGTAGTAATTTTTTTTCAGAACACCTTAGAGTTGATATGACTAGTGTTCTAAAACACCCCAAATCTGAATCTTTCCCTTGGTGGTGGTCTCTAGTTTAATGTAGAGTGAGTCACTTCCTATTTTGTTACCAATATAACTTCAGTTGAGTAACTTCTGTGGTTTTAGATTCTTCAGCACATTGCATTTCTGGTATCTCTCAATATCATCTTTGACTGTCTTTTCATGATGCTCTGTTCAACAAAACATAATTTTTATTTCCAGTTTCCCCAAATCCTTAATAGTTCATCAAGCTTGTATTTCTTGTTACTAACACATTAGTCTAAGCTTTCAGGACAGTGTGTGAGGAATCTAGCTGTGCATTGCCATTTGGCATGCGTTAAAAAGATGCCATGCAGCCTTCTATTCTTTTTGCATGCTTGATGGAGTGATCGCTTGTAGGTGATATGAAAGCCTGTTCCTCTGAGGGGATGTGAACCAGTGGGTGATAAACCCCACCATAATAAATTGCCAGAATAGATGCAAGAAATAATTTTTAGGCATTTTTTCAGGAATGTTTCTGATTTACAGAATGCGAAGATTTTGATGTCTGTGGTACAGTTACGAATTTAAAGTACCATAATTTTCTTGCAAGTAAAATTGCAGAGGAATTACACCAGTCTCACTAAAATCGGCAGCATGCACCTAGATGAAACATAGTAAAATAAACACTGACCTGTGAGTATGTGCAGTTTGTGCTTGTGCTTTACAGATTTTTAAACTTTGGAATCCTATGGGATTTTTTGCAGGAAATACACAGTAATAATAGTATACAATTACAATACTACACATAAGGTTTGAATGAAAACCAAACTGGGTTTTCATAGAATGAATGTTTTCTAAACATACGCTTATGTCTTATTCTCTATATTGATTTTTTTTTGTCTCCAAGTTGCTTGTAAAACATGAATGTGAAAAAAAAAAAAAAAAAATTCGTGTGGTGAACTGGTGACTTTTTCCCCCTGAAATGATAGGCACCTATGGGGACATGCTGGGGTGATATCTCAGAAGGAGTGCGAGTGGAAGTTCCAAACACCGACTGCAGCCTACCTACCAAAGTCTTCTGGATAGCTGGAATTGTAAAATTAGCAGGTGAATATATTTTAGTTGAAATTATTAAAATAATCGAAACAATGATGTGAAGGGAGCTAAGAATTTAGTCAGTGGTCACCTGGTTAGTAGAATATTGACACTGGTTAGGTTGTCAGACCTGTGTCAATAGGTTATATGTGTTAGCTCTGTCGCTCTGTTATGCTGTTTTACAGTGAAGCTTGAGAACACCTGGGATTTTTATATTGCTGAAGAGTACAGTAAGAGCAGTGCAGAATGAATGAGGACATAGGAAATTGTATAATAGTTAACAAGTAAGCCTTGTTATATGGATCACTTTTCTTCATTAAAAGTTAAAAATTCAAGGTCACGTAGCTAAGATATGAAAAAGCAGATACTGTGGGTAATTTATCAATTTTGTCCTATTACATGTAATTTGTAAAGGTTTCTAGTTCAAGAATTTTAATTAAAATTTGGCTTACATGATAGCACATGCACATTTATCAAAGTAATCCATTCTGTGCATTAATAACATGTGGCAATGTGCCCTAAGAATAATGTTATATAAAAAGTTCTAGTCTAGAAAATCCAGCGTAATATACATTATGATTGGTAGAGAAATATTAATAGATCTTTTATAATCTTGTTTAAATTTTGTCTCTTTTAAATGGGACTGCTTTCTTTCAGGCTACAATGCTCTGCTAAGATACGAAGGCTTTGAAAATGATTCAAGTCTTGACTTCTGGTGCAACGTTTGTGGGTCTGACATCCACCCAGTTGGTTGGTGTGCAACCAGTGGGAAGCCCCTAGTCCCTCCTCGAAGTATGTAAATAGTAGCCTTACTGATTGATATAAAAGTCTTTCTTTATTAAACTAAATTTGCTCATGGTTCAGATATCAAACTTGTTTTTTCTTTACCATAGCAACTCTTCCAACTGTTACAAATAAATCATTTTAACTTTTGGAAAAATAAGGACTTGACTGATGCTGAAAGTGTTTCTTGGAGTAGCCCATCTGATGCAACTTAAAGTTTTTAAGATCAAGGTGGAACCGGTTAGCTAATCAGTGGTGTGAACATACACTGATTTTATTTATATTTTGTGATTAAATTCTTTGCCCTGACATACCCATAAACTTAATCTCGGGTAGCATTCATTCTCTAAAGAGGTTTTTGTCATTATTGTCATCCAAGCTTTTTAACAGTCATCTGGGATTTCTTCTTTACATATTCCAGACTCTAATATTGTCTCTAATGGACACAATTAAAAATCAGTGGCTTATTTTTTCCCCTTCATTTGCAACAGCCATCCAACACAAATACACAAACTGGAAAGCTTTTCTAGTGAAACGACTTACTGGTGCCAAAACACTTCCTCCTGACTTTTCTCAGAAGGTAAGGCTGATGCAATATCAATGATGTACTATAAACGAAATTGCAGCACAATGTGAAGAACTGAAGTATTTTACAATGGCACATTAGCTCCTTTTATAGTGAAGGTGATACAGTAGTCTCTTCCCTTAAATACAGTTTTCCTTGAAATCTCTATTCTCCATTTATGTCCACGCTTGTCAGCATGTATTTGGAAAACTGTTTCTTCTAGCAGAAAGTAATTTTCATTAAAAACTGGTTAGTCTCTTTTAATTTTAAAATACCCCAATTAAAAAAAGAAAAAAAAAGTCTTAATAAGCTACCCTGTGATATGTAAGAAAAAGGAAAACTTATTTTTCTAATTCAGGAATGATTTTTATCATGCACTATTTCAAGAAACTGAACAAAACTTGTTAATATAGCACGTATCTAGATGCAATGAAGTACATACTTTTGAATGTTAATATTTTTCATCTGCTCTGGATGAGTTTTTTGCTGTCTTTGTCATGTCTTTAAGTGTGGCAGCTGCCTGTATAGTGTTCTATAAGTTTACTATTATTGTGAGATGGTACACAGCTTTCAGTAGGAATAGGAGACTTATTGTATTGTTGTCTTACACTGCATCTAATATTCAGAAAAAAAAAATCCCACACCTTTCTGCAGTTGTTCGTTTCTATTTAAAAATCGGCTCCGTTGGAAGCCAAATTAAATTGGCACGGTCTCAACACTTGGGGGGAGTTCATAATGGAAATGGCAAGTGACAGATACTGATTTTTAAACAGAATGTATTGTCACAAGGCAGATTGACATCTATTTCCATTCTGTTCCTTTCTTTTTGGTATATTGTAAAGAAATATGTTTGTGAGTCACCACCTTTAATTATGTTGAAGGTTTGTTTTCCATGCCTTTTATAATAAAGTAAAAAAGGATTAAAATAAAGTGCTATGTTTGAGTGGGTGGCAAAGCAAAAAAAAACCCCACAAAATTGGTGTCTTCTTTTTTTGGTTAAAATTGTTTCTTCAGGAAACTTGATCCATTGTTAACAACTGAACAAGCTTTCCTTAAGTCAATGGAAAATTCCTTTAACCTATGTGAGAATTGTATTAGGGGCTGTATTTGATACAATTAAAGCATTGTAGGATCTATTCTACTTAGTTTTCTGAATTGCTTCATTTTTCCCAGTGTACAGTGAAATATAAGAGAAATCATTTGTGTCGTTTTGCAGGTTGATTAACAAGTACTTGAGTTAAGTGAAAAGTGCAGTGATACTGCACTTTAATAGCTGAAGACAGATGACTAAGGAAAAAAAAGTATATTCTTACAGAATGGGTTTTTTCCTCTTGCTTTAAGGTGTCTGAGAGTATGCAGTACCCATTCAAAACGTCCATGAGAGTAGAAGTTGTTGACAAAACGCACCTTTGTCGAACAAGGGTAGCGGTTGTAGAAAGCGTCATTGGGGGACGGTTAAGATTGGTGTATGAAGAAAGCGAAGACAAAACTGATGATTTCTGGTGCCATATGTACAGTCCGCTCATTCATCATATCGGTTGGTCTCGAAGTATAGGACACAGATTCAAAAGATCTGGTAAGCTGCTTGTGGTTTAGAGGTGTCTTTGTGGGCAGTGTTGGCTTGGAGAAGTCTGACTTAAGCGGTACTAAAAAACCGCCTGAATAATGATCTTTAAAAAAAATATGTTTTATATAACGTGGCCCAGGGCTTTTATCAGTTAGATCACATTCAATAGTTTCAGTTTAATTAGTGTATTTTATAGCATTGGAAAAGCCGAAAGAAAATTTTAGTTGCTTTGTAGCATGTCGATATCTAGAAAGATTCAACGATAAACAGTGGTTAACAGTCTAGGCAGGAAAACTGTGAACTGCAGTATTCAAGCATGGTAAACATAATTTTTCATGCTGAAACCTGGAATTACACAGTCCTGCTCCACAAACTCCTTGTGTCTGCATGTTTGTTTCTTTTTGTACAATATAACATGGACAAGTATCCTATTAGATACTGATTTTTTTTTTTTACTTGCAAGTTTAAGGACTACTGTCTAGTATTTTTATATCGCAAGATTTACATGTGTTAGAGGGCATTAGGAGCTGGGCAGGGAAGATGTAGTGCTAGTCTAATAGATGGTACACAGTTAATACCCTTGTTATGTAAAAGACAAAAATCCTTGTAGTATGAAATATTTAAGATTTCTAAATAAAAAAGTCTGGGTTTTTTTAATATTTCTGTGCCCCATTGAGTTTGTGTCCTTTGTCAGAAACGGAATTTCTGTAAAACATTCCACAAGGCATCCCTTCAGGAAAACCTTCCATTTTCCTAGCACTTAAACTTTCACTAAAACCATTTGTAAATGAGAGTAGTTAAGAGAAGTCAGGAACAGTGCTACTTCCCAGCAGCTACTTCCCAGCTCTAACAGTTCCAGGGATTCCCCTTGGAAAGCAGTATTCAAGAGCTGGCAAACCCAGCTATGTTTATGTATTTAAAGTGATTACATATAATTATATAAAAAATGTGCAAATATAACTTTCTGTCATAACATAATGAAGGGATTTTATTTGCCGATTTTTTTGCAAAAGCGTCTATGTATATTTGTATCAGTTTGTGATATAATCAAGTGGTCTTGTAAATACTGGATTTTTTTTTTCATAAATGAAACTGTGTTACAGAGGTATTTCAGGTCGAAGTCAGTAAGGAAAATAGATGGACTATGTCCTCCATATTTTTGTGGTAGCCCTATTATAAACCATGGGCCTCCCACACCAATGATTGCATTCTACTAGTTAGCATGTTCAGAAAAACACAGTCTACTGTATTAACAAAACTTCTGAATAATATGTACTATTATGCCTCGTAGATATTACGAAGAAACAGGATGGACACTTTGACGCACCCCCACATTTATTTATGAAGGTGAGTTTGCTAGCAAGGACACTGTTTCCTCAGAGTTGACTGAGGACCTTTAGTTCCTGGGACATGTAAAACAGACCTGAAACTCTACTTCAGTCCTGGAAATAGGACCAACACAAGCATTACTTTTTTTTATTCAAACACGTACCTAATTTTGCTTCCTTGACATAAGCAGAGATGATAGAACAGGTATTTCAATCTGCTGCTTTGATGGTATGGGGTTGTATTTTGTTCCAGGCTTATTTGATTCTTAGCTTCTGGTGCTGTTATCTGATTCTTTAGGTAAAAGAGGTTGACGCAGCTGGAGAATGGTTTAAAGAAGGAATGAAATTGGAAGCTATAGACCCCTTAAACCTCTCGGCAATATGTGTGGCCACTATTAGAAAGGTAAGAAAACAAATGTGTATTTTGGGAAGGTAGACAGGAGTTCTTTTTTCACTCACCTTTATTCAGGTTTGAAACAAAAAACTCAAAACAAAAAAAAATGCAGTTCATTCACACAGTGAATGTTTATGGAATATGTCCATTAATTGTTTATATGCAACTGCTATGAAAAAGAATATACTCATGTAAGGGGTTGTTGTTGTTGTTTTTTTTAATTTAAATTACATTCATCTCTGGAAATTCATCCTTACCTTTAATTAGAATATGTTTGTGAGATTAATTTGCAGGACAATCTTCTGGTAATTATACCAAATGTTTTGCAACTATTCAGAAAGAAACCTCATCTTGCTTGCTTGCAAAAGTCTATGAAGGCATTTTAAGGATGTACTTTTTTCCTAGCTTGGTTGAAAGGGATCCCATACATGTGAAATCTGTTTTAAAAGAGGAAAAAAATGTAAAAAGTAGCTTAGCAGAATTGCATAACCTTGTGGACTGTCGTTTATGATTTTGAGTCTTTTCTTACTAATGGTGCGCAGAATATCCTTGCAAGCTAAAGAGTACGCTGAATTATAAAGCTTTAGAAGTAGAGCTTAAGTTCACAAGAAAAATAAACTAGAGATCAGAAAAAGGAAATGTTCATCTCCTAGTTTGCAGTTAACAAAGGTACATTTGACAATAGAACACACGGTCTTGGAGACAGGTATGATTTGGGGTTTTTTCTTTTGTTACAATTAAATGTCCTTCTAAGTGTACTTCCATTATTATTGAGTTACTTTTCACTCTTTTGAAACATGGCATGCTTTCTTTCTAGCCTTATCACAGAGTTAAAGGTATTTAATGTAAAATTTTGTTTTTCTTTACAAAGGTTTTAGCAGATGGCTATCTTATGATTGGGATTGATGGCTCAGAAGCAGCAGATGGGTCTGATTGGTTTTGTTACCATGCCACTTCCCCTTCTATTTTCCCTGTTGGTTTCTGTGAAATTAACATGATTGAACTAACTCCACCCAGAGGTACATATAGCATTCTGACCACATTTTATTTTGAATATTTTTCAGTGATATTGTATGTGCCATATGCTTTGTTTCTTAACTCAGTCTACAAAACTCATGTCACTTCTTAGGACTTTCTGAAGTCTGAAACAAATACAACAGCGTAACTTCAAAGTAATCTAAAACAGAGATAACAAACTTCATTTAGAACAAGTCAAATTGAACATCTGATTGATTCTCTGGCTAAAATAATTTGCTTTTGCAGTCAGAAATTGAGGATAGCCACTAGTTGAATAGTATATCCGTTAAGTGAATGGGAAGTAGGGTAGTCACTAAAAGGACTGTTCAGAATATGTCATTGCTTGGGAAGTCCTGGCCACCAAAAGGGCTAACAAACGTTGTAAAGAATCTCAGGCTAATTCACCAATGCCAGTTAATTTGTTTAAAGAATATGCACAAACTTGAGCTTTGAGGAAGTAGAGCTAGATGCTGTGTAATCCCTTCTGTGAGAAAAAGCTGTCTGTCCACTAGCACGTATGCCTACGGAAGACTCTGTTGCCTTCATTTTTCCTTTTTATTGTCTTGGTCTAGCAATTTATAAAGAGGATTGTAACTAGCTGTGTAAAAGCAGATAATAATGGTTTTCTATGGATTTTTTTTTTCTCCGTTCTCATTTTTGCAGGCTTCTACTTGTACTTATTGCATTATTTTTCTAGGTAATAACTGCAAAGAGTGTAATGCAACACGAAGAAAATAATTTCATATCATTTTCATTATTGCACGCTAATGAATCTGTCATCTTTGAGTACGTGGAAAGTGCAGTTGGACAGATTTACTATTATTTTTCAGTCAGCTCATTTAGTGACCTTATTGCCTAGAAATTCATGGGCATAATCACCTCTTAAAAATACGTGGTGGAAGTCTCTTGCAATAGAAAATTTTTTTTCTGGGAGGAAAAAGCATGCATATCAATATATATATCAATCAATTTAGAAATACATACATTAAATTGACAATGTAGAATAGGAAAAAATCCCTCCCTTCTGTAATGAAAACTTTCCTCTTTCCTCTACAAATACTACTTACACAACAGTATGTGAATTTTGTTGTTAGCATATTTATGATACTTCTGTGCTTCTTGTATCGTGGCAACCTTATTCTTTATCTACATGTGTATTTCTCCTTCTACTGCAGTTTTCTGTAACAGTCCTGTTCATCCACTGAGAGGTGATAATAAATCACACATGCAATAATCTAAAGTAATTTGAAAGAGGAATTAACATGAGTAAAATGCAGAATATAATGTGCATTAACATATTTAATAGGATCAAAGCGATCAAAGCTTCTTGGCTCTTTGCTTTCCAAATTATGGGCTTGAAAATGGACAGTTCCTTAACTCTGACTACTCTAACAAGGACCACATGCACATGTGTCTAGTGCATGTGAGAAGTTAGTTAAAGGACTTACGTACAAATATATTGGTCTAGCCAGAGGAACTGTGCATTAACAAGAAAAGCATTAATATGCAAAACTGATACGTTACTACCCTTATTAATTGTCAGCTATCCAGCTACACCTGTTCATGCAGATATTATGTACCTAATGTGAACGCTCTTTTCCAAATGGCATTTAGCAGTGTGGATAGCTTAAAGCCCAGTGATTTCACAGCAGCTTACTTAAATTCATTTGTTCCAAACATCTTCATCTCTTGCTGAAATCAGTAGAAGATGAAGCTGCTTAGACACTTTCAAGAATGAGATTACGTTTTGGATTGTGAATGTTAGCTACCTTATGGGTCTGGCCCTGTGGTGCTGAGCTGTGGCTCAGCGGGAGCTCTCTACCCTCACTTAGGTGAGATCCAGCTGTTTCCCGTAGCTCCCCATGCCATGCCTGCTATGCTGCGATATTTTTCGGAATGTCCATCACTGCATAGTACTGCAAAGGAATCTTTCAAGCTGTTGTTGCTCCAGCTAGAATTTGAGAATTACTGGTTTAAGCAGTTGTAGAAGTTGCCCAAACTAAAAAATAGTCCTGCGTGTTTTAGGCATATTCAGTAGATGCACAAAAGCTAAATATATTTGAGAGATTATTTTCGTCCCTTTATAATAGCTTTTTAGATTGGGGGGGGAAATCCTGTAATTTTCCATCTGATTGGTATTTTTAGCCTTATTTAAGTTTTAAAATATCCATGCTTGTTCTTACCACTCCATTCCTAACAATCGAAGTGTTTCAATAGTGGAGCTCTTTCCCCACAGGAAAGATACTGGATGTGCTTATTTACATTGATCTGTTCTGGGTCATTTGTGTGGGGCTTTGTAGAGATCCGGGATCTACGTGGACAGAAAGCTTCAAGTATGAATGATTAATCTTAACATTAAATGACACTTTCTATATTATCCAGAGGTTCATTCATCTTGTTTGTGGCAAATGGGCTATGTCCAGATGACTGTCCTGTCCCTTAGACCAAAGCTCAGAGAGTGGAAGTTTCTGATGTTAATGTTTTGCTTCTTTGTTGTCTTTTTAGCCATAACACAGTGCCAATATACTATTTTTGTTGTGTTCTTATGCATGAAGTTTGCAGTTGATGTATGAAAATGTTGTTTGAAATTCACAGGTTATGCAAAACTCCCTTTTAAATGGTTTGACTACCTCAGGGAAACTGACTCAATAGCAGCCCCTGTAAAGCTCTTCAATAAGGTAATAAACATACATGTATATTTAAACTCTAATTAGTATTATCTTTACATTTCTGTCTCCATAGTCCATGGGATTGACCCATTTCTGTGAATAGAATTTTGAAAAGCTAAGACAGCAGAGACTTCTAGAAATAAGAACCATTTGAGTATATTAAGCTTAAATGCTTCTGAAATGTTAAATAAATACAGGGGTACGTGAAACTTCATAACTAATACTTGGTGTTTTCCTCATTAACATGACTGAAAGTCACTTCAACACTGTGCTTAAACCATCTTAATTAACATGTTTCTTTACTGATGTTTGCTTTTTCAGGAAGTTCCAAACCATGGGTTTCATGTTGGAATGAAACTGGAGGCTGTTGATCTGATGGAACCTCGCCTGGTATGTGTGGCCACAGTAACTCGCATTATCCATCGTCTTTTGAGGATACACTTTGATGGGTGGGAAGATGAATATGATCAGTGGGTGGATTGCGAGTCCCCAGACCTCTATCCAGTGGGATGGTGTCAGCTAACTGGATATCAACTACAGCCTCCAGCACCACAGTGTAAGTTCCAGTTTTGTAAATAACGTAACAGTTGCTTACTGGTCCTTGGTCATGGGTGATGATTTTCCTAACTTCATCCTTTTCTAGTTGGGTCACCAGGTGTTACAAAAATAAAACAAAATCTTGCTAATGCTTAGACGTAGATAGTTCTAATCTCTTCCACCTTGACATTTAAAGTACTTCTGGGCATTTCTGTGACTACTTCCTACATTTAATGCCAGAAGATGCTTATTTTATCCAGGGAAAAAGCCTGTTACTTACTCATCAATTCAGGATAATATCACTGGGAATATATATGGCTTTAAGGTTGCAAATATATATGCTTTGCATACTGGATTTCATGGAACTCAGCGTGTGCATAGCTATTCGTGAGAAGGCTGTATTTTATTTGATGCATTAAGACTTATCCTGTCAGGTCAAGTTATATGATAATATTTGATAACTGTATTTGGAGAACTGTTGGTTGTTTAGTGGGAGGGTAATAGTAGTTTAATGGGAGGCTTTTCCCACAATAAAGGTATCCTGCCTTCGTTCAGTCACCAAGGAGAAATTCTGTAGCTGTGTAGCAGCTTTGACATATTCTGAAGTGTTTTTCCAAAATACCGATCTTTAATTTTAAATTCTTAATTTTTTGCAGCATCAAGAGATAGCCAGTCGAGTTCATCAAAACAGAAGAAAAAAGCTAAATCGCAACAGTACAAAGGCCATAAGAAAAGTGGGTGACAAATTAGTGTTTACACTTTTCCTGTCATTTAAAAAGTTTGTGGTCTCTCCTTAAGTTCCTGTTCTATTTGGAAATGTTTGTGTGTAAACAGGTGTTATGGTTAAAGGTGCAGTATGCCATAAAAGGAACTTTTTCATTGAGAATAACCATTTTTTTATAACTTGCAACAGGGTTGATGTTACTAATAATAATCTATATGAATTGTAGGTGCACAACTGATAAAATAGTTTTGGTATTTGGACATCATTTTAGTTAATACACTGACTATATGTACCTTATACAAAATACTCAAGTATCAATTAACACAGTTTTAATTCTGCTCTTTGTAACACAGCTGTAGGAATAAGAACCAAGTTACTTGGATCAGAAAGAATGAGATGCAGAAAATTGAAATTACCATCTAGCTGGTTCCTTTTTTTGTGTTTAAAAAGTTACTTAATTGCCAGATTTTTAGATGAGACAGACATCTGTGGGAAGCTGCATTTAAATAAAACTTCTATATT